CGCCGCCGCCGCCGCGGCCGCCACTTGGAGTTTCTTCAGACTCCAGATTTCCCTGTCAACCACGAGGAGTCCAGAGAGGAAACGCGGAGCGGAGACAGCAGTATCCCACGCCTCTTGCAGCCCGGATCACCCCAGCAGGGATGGGCGACAAGACCTGGCTGCCCTTCCCCGTGCTCCTTCTGGCCGCTCTGCCTCCGGTGCTGCTGCCTGGGGCGGCCGGCTTCACACCTTCCCTCGACAGCGACTTCACCTTTACCCTTCCCGCCGGCCAGAAGGAGTGCTTCTATCAGCCCATGCCCCTGAAGGCCTCGCTGGAGATCGAGTACCAAGTAAGTGCGGAGGATAAACCAGCCTCCTTCCTTTAACCCAGCTACACTGCGTTGTCGCCTCTCACCCGTTTAGAAACTTCTGGTGGACGGCCCGGGTGGTGAAGAGGCGAGGGCCGTCCGGGAAGCCGGCCCGCTCTGCGCAGGCGCGCGAGGCGAGGCAAGGCGAGGCTCACGCTGAGGCCGGGGACCCAGAACTTAGGCTGGACCTGGAATTGACAACTACCCCGCCTAATCCCCTTTCCTTCGGTCGGAAAGAGGCCAGAACTGGTGATGTCGCTGGCTTTTCTGTTTCCTAATTCGCCTGTCGCTTTTCTTAGCCACTACACGCTCCGATACTGAGAATTTCACAATGCGGAACTGATACACGTTCTCCTTCATTATTGGACGAGGTGATGACACTTGTTTGAATCACCCCCACCCCTTTCACACAATTCAGATGTTACAGATCTTCACTGTCTTTGCTTCAGTTAAGGGTTTTTGAATTATGATCATGTAATTATCACTAAGCCCAATTTTGAAATTTTTTGGAAGAGGCTGTTGCTATATTTAATCATACATTGCCGTTTAAGTTATATATGCATTATTTTCAAAAGATCAAATCGTATATTAAAACTTTATAACCTTTCCTTTCTTTTCATTGAGCATTGTAAGCATTTCCCTCGTGTCATTTTTTTTTTTTTGGGGGGGGGGGTTGTTTTTTTTTTTTGAGACGGAGTCTCGCTCTGTTGCTCAGGCTAGAGTTGGAGTGCAGTGGCGCAATCTCGGCTGACTGCTGCAACCTCTACCTCCCGGGTTCAAGCGATTCCCCTGCCTCAGCC